TCTTAGCAGTTGTACACATTGGCTTGGCATAAAGGTTCCCAAAGCTAGACTCAGGCTGTTCTTCAGCATCTGCCAAGTGAGTTTTCTCTATGTAATTTCCAGTGAACAATAATACAATTAATGACTTCTGTTTCTACCCTTACTGGGGACCCCACTGTGTTCAGTGAGTTCACTCAGTGAGTTAAGAGGACAAGTTCTTAAGTCCTCTTAATGCCCGGCAGGACAGGCATTTCCATTTCTACTTTGCCAAGTCAGGAAGCTGAGTCACGGGATGGCTAAGCACATTGCCCACCAACACCTAGCTAGTGAGTAGCTAGCTAGGTGGGTCCTGATCCCAAGTCTGTGCGCTTCCTAGAAAAAGTCATTTGCACCATGCAACCTTCGAACAATAAGTAGAAACATAAAGGGGGTAAAACACATGTCCCAGAGAACCCAGTCAGGCCAGACACAGATGGGAACACCCAGTTCCCAGCCTTGGACTCTGCTCCTGAGCCATGCTGTTCATGCTGACAGCAGTCAAAGTCCCTGAGTTTCAAGAGTTAGAAATCTATTCCACTCAACAAGGGCAAAGGCATTTTCTCGAAAGGAGTCACAAAATCAGTGGGAAGGCTGCTATGCCAGGAGAAAAATGGGCAACTCTAGAGACTGGTGAGTTGAAATGAAATAAACCATCTCTTGCCAGAATAGATTGGTTCTGTGTCTCTGTCCCTCTGCTCAGACTGTCCTGGTTTGGGTCAGAGTGTAACCATTGGGAAAGAGATAATTTCCTAAAATGAAATCATGTACTGGGAGCTGGGGCACTGTGTTGCTCAACTCCAGGGGACACCACTCATATAGACTACAATGTGAATTGCATGCCCTCAGGTTGTACAACACACCAGCAGTACAAATGAATCCCAGGCAGACCCTCTGAATGCTTTACACTTGTTAGATACACTGCCCACACACACCACTCACTCCTCACACAAGTAACTTTCTGTATCGCTTAGTTATTGCATCTTGTCCAGGTGTACTGGAAGGTTCCTAAAGATGGAATCCAGAATGCTAACATTTCTATTCCTAACACCACATCATACAGAGCAGGAGTTGTCAATAAAGCTCATTATATCCACCACCAAATATGTATTTCCTTTTAAAAATGAATGGACCGATATACACAATGCAATGAAATAGGAACACCAGCCATCTGGCACACACCATGTTTGCATGTTGTCCTTGCAAGGTACCCAGAACTGACCATGGAAGCAAGGATAGATTCGTTGAGGACATACACGGGCATTTAGCAGAAGCCAAAGTCTATGCTGAGAATGGTCTACTTGTAGAAGCTCCATCTCAGATTAACCTGGGGAGGCCTTTTTAAAGACAGATTATCCTCAAACTCCTAGTATTGTTCTATGTAGACAACTTCACATGCACCAACCATGCTGCCCCTGGCCCAAAGCCCCTTTTAATGTGGAGAGTTTGGTCTGTCTCCAAATATTTACTGAACAGGTGCTGTGTGAAGCAGGAAGTCACTCTGTCATTAAAAGAGCTCAGTAGCTGCCACCAATAATCATTTATTCAGCTCCATCCTCCTCCACCATCCCTCCACCCTCATTACAGACTGGCTCATTCCTTAGTACAGTCTCTGGTGTCAGCACATTCCAGGCCCGGGCCCTTCCCGCTGGCAGAAGACAGCAATAGGAGGAGCGAGAATGAAGTTGGCTGGCAAACCCATGTCCTGACCCTGGATCTCCTCATTCAATAACCCCATTCAATAACCATACATTGCACCCTGCTATGTGTTAGACTCTGTGCAATATACTGGGAACTATGCAAACAAGAAGGCACGGAAGCCCAGTCTAGTGAAGGAAACAACCCTGTAACAAATGATTACAATTCTGAGTGGTCAATGGTTCAAAAGTCTCACATAATATTCTCATTTACTATTATTGTATCCAGCACCTAGAGGAGTTCCTGGTACATATTAGATGGAACCCCAGTAGTGTGGATTGATGGATGAATATATTAACAGCAAACGCTTACTCGGTGCTTACCAAGTGCCCCGTGCTATTACAAAAGTTTTACATGTATTAACTCACTCACTGATGTTCACAAGAACCCTGTGTAGTAGATGTTATTATCACCCATATTTTATGATAGGAAAAACATATTTTATGATAGAAAGGTTGAATGACTTGCTCCGTTAGTAGGAAGGAGAGCCAAGATTCAAGCCCATCCTGACAGTCTGGCCCCCTGTGCCCTTAGCCTCTGCCTATAATACACTATGTGCACGGCACTGGGGAATCACAGAGGAGGCATCACCATCTGAGGAGCTGGACATGGTTCCATCCTTTCTGCTGATGTCAGTAGTGACATGGGTGGCTCGCCAAGGACCATGATGCCTCAGTGTCTTAACTTTCTTACTTTCAACAACCACTTCCATCATTCCACCTCTACCCCTGTCTCCCATGTCGACTCTGCATCTTATCATCACCAGTAAAGGCACCGCTTCTGAAATCTCATTGTCAAGCCTTCTGCCCTCATGCTTCACCATATTCTCCAGCTGCCTATTCCAGGACCTTAACTGCAATACTGGAAACTCCATTCAACCAACTCCACCACTGTTTTTGCTATTAATCAACTCATTCTGCCTTCATTTTCTTCCCTACTGTCCTTAGATTCCATGACCTGCTTTTATAAGCTTTCCTTTGCATATGTTCCTAGCAGCCTTGCCTTTCTCTCCTTATCATTTTTGTCCAGCAAAACTCTTACCCAGCTATCTACCATCTCTAATCATGCATCAAAACTACTAAATATCACTGAGAAAACACAGATCTGAGATCATCAGAGTGTCTTTAAATTTATGCCCACAAACCTCAAAGAAGTATTCAATACTGCCTAGCAATCCTACTATGTTTTTCAAGTAAATTTCTTCCCCACTGTTCATAACTATTGTATGCCATTTTCTCACCCCTCAAAGGACCAGAGTCCTCACCCTCAGTTCCCCCTATGTCTTTGCCCATGACCTTCACTGAGACAGTCTGGCCCCGGAGTCTGTGAAAATTTCTTCATTGAAATTTTCTCAGTGAAGTTTCTTCACTAAGAACACAGAACTAAACAGATCAGTGTCCTGTCATTTTTTCACTGGCCAATCTAAAACTCTATCTACCTCTGGACCTGTTCTGCTTTATTTTTCTCTCCCATGACTATGGGAGCAATCTTTGTGCTCCTCTCAAAGGCAAATCCCTGCCCTCCCATCCCCTCCCATCTTCTTAAACATTTCATTCCTTCAGTTATTCCCTCTCTTCTGCATCTTTACTCTCTTTTTACAAGATCATTCCCTTCAAATGACAAACATGGTGCAGTATCTCTCATCTTAAAGAAACAAACCACTCAGCCCCACACCCTCCTCTAGTTTTCATTCTTTTTTTTTTCCCTCTTTCCCTCTATAGAAAAACTTTCTTACCTCCTTACCTCCAAAGCAGCCTTCAACCTACCCCATATGGGCATTTGTCCTTATCTTCTCCAATGATCTTGTCATGGTCACTATATGACACCCATGTTGCCAACTCTACTGCGCATTTTTTTGTCCTCATCTTAAACAAACTCTTAGCATCACTCAGCAAAGTTGATCATGCCCTCCTTTTTCGAAGAACATTCATCTCCTGACGTCTTTGATCCCACTTCTGGTTGCCCTCTTCTCCACACTCACTCCTGCTTGGTTGCCTCAGCTGGCTTCTCCTCCTCTACTCCACTCCTGAAAGGAGTGGTTCTGGCCCTTTTCCATTCTCTACCTATTAATTTTATTTTCCTGGTTGGGGGTCTCATACTGTCCCATGGCATTATCATCATATACATGTTAATGACTCCAATATTCATAGCTCTCTTTCTTACCTCTTTCCTAAAATTCCAGACTTGTGTATCCAACTGCTCCCAAGAACCTAGAGACAGAGCTCTTTTATCACTGCCCCTCCCCTACACACATACTTTCTTCCTCCCCAGGCTCCAATATCAGTAAAGGACACACCTATCTACCCAGATGCTCAAGCCAAAACTCTCCCTTGCCCTCACTCTTCATATGCAATTCATCAAGAAGTCCTATCTCTTGGTATAGTCATGATTCTATTAATTTTTCTCCATCAGCACCAGCACACTTCACCAGCCCATCACTTACCTCACCCGCCTCCACCATAGGCCTCGCCACACATTTGTCATTTGGCCTCTTACCGCCTTTCTCCTTACTGTGTCCTCAAGGTCCTGAAATATCTGTCTGCTCTCAACTTTCACAGTCCCTTCTCTACACAGGCTCCTCTGTTCTCTGTGCTTCAGCTTACTCATCTCCCTTCAGTCCTTCCTTCTTCCCAAACTCCTTTCCATATTAGGGCCTTCATCTTTATTCTAGTACCCTGAAGTTCCCTTTTCCCAGCTCTTTAAACAATTACCTCATTCGTTTTCCTCAGGTTTAGCTCCAAGGTCATCTCCTTAGAGATACCTTCCCTGACCAGCCATCCTATCAAACATGGCATCTCCCCAGTTTATAGTTTCACCATGTATTGAGTGCTTCCCAGACATTGTTATTAGTGCTTTACCTTGATCAATTCTTTTGTTTTTCACAGATGGATTAAGTGGGCAGTGTTATTATCATTATTATACCCATCTTGAAAACAAGAAAACTGGGCCCAAGAAGACAAGAGCTGTCCAAGGTTAAACAACTATCAGGGAGGGGCTCAGGGTTCAACCCTGCGCAGCGCAGCTCCAGCCTGGCCTCTTAACCATCGCACCGTCTGACACACTCTTATAACCTGCGCGTCTCCTTCTAGCACTTTTTACATCTAGCTACTGTTTTGTTTATCTTTTTACATACTGTCAGTCTCCTCATTAGAATATCAACAATGTTTGGAGAGAGAGCTTTTTCTTCATCACTGGATCCCCAGCGTACAGTGAACACAGAAAATATAAGACACCATTTTTGTTTTAAATGGTTGAATAACACTATGTGTGTTTTGTATATTTTTCAGAACAGATTTATTATGCTGGCCCTGTCAATAATCCTGGATTTGATATTCCCAAGGTAAGGTTTTGGTTTTCTATTTTTTTTGTTACTTAAGTATTATGTTGAGCAGTTTCTTGAAGCAGAAGAAGGTGAAGGTGATGGGGGAGAAGGAGAAGAAGGGGGAGAAGGAGGAGGAACAGGGAACTAAACAGTTAAACCTTCGTAGGCCATCAGCAAGAAAACCCGCTCCTCCTTAAACCTGATACCGCACAGCGGGCACTTTCAAATGGTTGATGCATTTGTCTTGTCATTTTGGTATTTAACATTTTATGTCATGTTGGACCCTGGGGGGATCCTCTGGGTAGACACCCTCACCTAGAGGGATGCAGGCATCCTGTCCCTGCAGGATCACTGTGTCTGCGGGGACTCCATGTGGCTGGAGCTGCCGCGCATGTGGGAGGCCGGCACAGGCTTGCTGCTGTCAGCGCTCAGCGAGGCTGGCCATTCGGGAGGGAGAAAGGAGGAAACACACAACCATGAGAGCTTAAACGTCCCCCAGTTACCATCCTTGCACTGTTATTTATGGGCTGCCACTGAGTAAATAAAATGTCCACGTCCTGAGCATTCACTGGTGAACCTCACAGCCAAGAGCTGAATTTTGCTCTAGTTTCATTTTTCTCAAAATAATGTGACTTTATTAGATGGATGGATTCAAGCAGCTCTGATATAAGCAGTACATTTTCAATATGCTATTCCTGAGAGAATCTCATGGAAAAATGCAGAAATAATCACAAAATGTAATAATTTTAATTTTTTTAATGTCATCCTTTCTATTTTCCAAAACCCATATATGACTCTGGAAAAGGGTCTCCTCCATAAAGAATTTGTTTAACTTAGTTTCATTTTGCATGTGTTTCCTTTCTATCCCAGCCTCTGGGCTCCTAAGGTCAAAGCCATCATGTCTCTGGACCGTCTGGGACTTCCACCAGGACTAGCAGCTGGGAATTGTCCTACCTTCCCTTCCCCCTCTGGGGTTCTTTTCCAGAGTTTCCTCCACAAGAGCAGTATAAGCTTTATAAATTTCAGTACAAGTTTTATAAATTCTCATCACTTCTAGAAGGTGGGGCCCAAATTCTCCAGATAGACTTTTCTTTAAATCTTTATTTGATTGTTTCTCTGTCCTCATTTTCTTTCTGACCTTCTGCACACACACACACACACACACACACACACACATTCTGGAGAATGACTTAAAATGTGCAAACTATTGATTTTCATCTTGCATTATTGAATTTTTTTAAAAAAAAAAAAACCAGTTCCCTGTAGCAACTGCTATGAAATAGGGGTGGGAGCGTGGGGGCGGGCGTGGGAAGAAGTTCTTATAGGCATAAAATCCCTTTAAGAGAAAATTTACCTGAGATATAAAAAGCTTTATTGCCAGGACGCTTGGGTGAGCACAGTACCTGTGTTCAACCAACAACAGTGCTCCATGAGATTGCTGTCCCACATGAGGGCAAAGATGTGATCAGGTCTCCTGGATCCGGGTCTGGGTACTTAAGCATCCACAGACTCTCTTTGTCTGATCCTCCTGCCTCTCCTCATTTTGAGGTCTGGGCCCAGGAAGCAGAAACCTCCCCAGCCCTGATCCCGCCCCAGCCTGCTGACACCCGAGTGGGACACGTGCAACTTGTCACATAGCAGCAGAGGCAGCTGGAGGCCTTAATCCCCACATGGGCTCCCATATTGGCCGAGGACCAATGCAGGCAGCTCAGGCTTCCCTGGCTGAAGGCCAGCCAGCAAAGCTCAAAGACTTTGCTTCCTAATATGGGACAGAGACAGTGCAAGACCTTTTGGTTTTAAAAGATCCCCTCCTCCCATCAAATCCCCCAGAGACGCTCTGTGCTTATTCTGTACCCGCTTGGCTGAAAACTATTCCACTCAGCAGTCAATCTTCAGTGTCTTGATATTCTTTCCTTCTTAACAGAACCAGCCCCTTGACCCAGATTTCAGCCCTGCCTAGAGCGCTGCGTCTATCTACGACTGCAGTTTTCTGAATTAGAATTTGAGATTCTTGAGCTTCCAAAGCACACGCACAACTTGTAGGAACAGCCTGAACTGTCTAAGTGCCAAGAACTACAAACTCCTAACTCACAAACTCAGTGCTCATTTTGGCAGCAGAAAGGGCGCCTCCCTCTGTCCCTTGTCCCTACTCTGCCCCTTCTGTCTTCTAGTATGTCCTTCCACCTGCCTAGAATTGGGCTCAGTCACCTCAATACTCTTGCCAGTTAAACCAGAGTATGTATATCTTGTAACACATAATCTAGAAACCCTTCTTTTAAATACTATATCTTTGCTTAGGCTTATAAAACAATAACAAAAACTTCATTTTGTTTTCAATAATTTTATAGAGTATGTACTTAAATGCATGGGAACAGTTAAAAGAAAAATAGACAATGATGATGATAATTAAACATAATCAGATGCAAGTCTGAGCTGGTCTTATCATTTTTCCTCTAACTTTTACACCTCTTTGGTTAACTAACACGGCTTCTGAAACCTCAGCTGCTTGGCATTTGAGCAATCAGACCCACGGGAGCCTGCACATCACAGGGTCCTAAAGGAAAATGGTACCTGCGGGGCTCTAATCAATCCTCACACCCTAAGCACCATCCTGAACAGGACCTGGGTGTCTTGAATATAGTTTTCAGTGGTGGGAACCGGCTTGCTCTGGGACCTCTGCTAATTGCTAGGAAGTTGTTCTCTTCTAACAAAAACTACCTTTCATGCAACTTCTACCCAGTTGTCTGATTTATTTCTTCCCTCTGGCTTACACAGATGAAATCCCTTTCCTTTCTCTGGCGACAGGCACATCAAAAGTGTTCCAGGAGTCTTGTGCATCATTTTCTCTTGGGCCCTTTTCCCTGCTTAGCGCTACAGTCACCCACCCTGGGCTTTCCTTCTCCAGACTGCGGAGTCTACAGACACTTACCACTTGGGCCTAAGGGCTGGGCAGGATTCTGCTGGGAACAAAATGGAAATGGTCAACCCCCGGGTTCTTTCTGCAACTCCACAGAGGCCTGTGCAGCAGCCACTAAGCACAGACAACAGAATTCCATTGTGAAGTGTTGTTGCCAGAAAGGAACCCTAAAAGACAGCGATAGAGCATGTTGGTTTCATGTAGTCGAATTTTGCTCCCCCAGAAGTCTTCTCTGTCTCAGCAAATGACACTCTTCTTGCAGTTGCTCAGGTCAGAATCCTTGGAGTCACCCTTAACCCCTCTCTTTCTCGCTCACCCACGTGGGTTTCCTCAGCAAATCATATCAACTCTTTCAAAATCTACCCAGAATCCAATCCCCACTCCCTCTCCACCATCTGCTCCAAGTGTTCACCATCTCACATCTGTCTCCCTGAAGTCACCCTCTACCTGCTCTTCCTGCTGCCACCCTCTCTCTCTTCTGTTAAAGGCAGCCACAGGGGTCCTCCTCTGGGGAAAACACTGTCCTGACTTATGGGGGACTCCATCCTGTGGAGTCCTCCGATTCAGCGCAGATGAAAGAATGAATCGTTCCAGACACCGTTTGCCTGTTAAGGAAAGGGGAAGCCGATTCTCTAAAGGAGAATGTCCTGAGCCCCTGTGCTCAGTGGCTTTTATTGAGAGAGTTAGAGGTGGGGGATAAGTAGTAGGAATGTATAGGTAATCTAATTACATCAGTAGCTTAAGTTTACAGGGAATAGATGTTGTTTAAAGATGACAATGGCAGGAACACACCAAACTGCTTTGGGTCCAAGTTGAGCAAACATTATGATGCCAGGTGGGATTTTGGTCAGAGCCCAAGAGTTTTATAAATTTCTTTCCCAGCCTTGAGCTGGTTATCTGGTATAAGAGTAACAGAGCTTGAGGGAGAAACAAAGCATGCTCCAAGGAGTGTCATTTACCTCTAAGTCTGATGTGCCCCCAGGGGTCCTCGAAGTCGTTATCAGGTCTTGCTTGCCTCCGCATTACTAGTGTTCCAGCCAAGACTTACTGGTCCTCTCCCAGGCCCTAGCTTGCATGGGAATACAGTTCACACTGACCAACGCCCTCTGACCCTTTCAGAGTCAAAGCCAGCATCCTCATGGCCAGTGAGGCCATCCCTGACCTCATCTCCTTTCCCTGCTCCTCCGGTTCCCTCTCCTTGGAACCCCACTGACCTCTTCACTCTTCCTGAAACATAGGAGCAGCAGCCCTCAGGGCAGCATGGCGAGCTCCTGCACCTTCTCCTCCAGGCCTGCCTTGATCTCCCTACTTAAAATCACAAGCTGGCTCTAACCCCATCCCATCCTGCCCTGCCCTGCCCTGCCCTGCCCTGCCCTGCCAAGCACTTCCATCCACACTTCCCCTGCTTGAGTTCTCTCTATAACATCAGCATGTGACATACCACAAACACAGCTAATTGTCACATGCATTGTTTGCCTCTCCCAGTGAACCCATAAGCTTCATGGGGTGATATTTGGTTTGCCGGGTTCTACTTTATTCGCAGTGTCTAGAGCAGTGCCTGCGCATAGGAGGTGCTCGATAACTATTTACTGAACAGTTGATTGTTCTATCGGTCACGCACCTCACACTTTCCCTGTGTCCCTTTCAGGGAGAATACCAGGTTTTGCTGAAACTGTATAATAAAAACCATCCCATGGTGGCTTGTGCCAATGCTACCGTCATTTGTTCCTGAGCAGCTCAAAAGCACAGCGATCTGTCTTGTGAGAACTGCAAGCTCCTCAGCCTGAACCTACTGTGTAAGAAGAACCAGTCGACTACAAAAAGAGCCTCCACAAGGAGCTTGCTGAAGGTGCCAATGCTGACTTCATCCCCAGCACTGGGGGCCCCAGGCTCCGCATGTGTAGCGAAGCACCTGAAATTACCTGCTTCTAAGGAGGCTTCTAGTATTCACTGAGCAATCTTGAGGGTCCATCCTTCTTCTCTAAGTGGTCACCTCACACCAAACGCCCTGCTTCTCAGCTCCTTAGGAGCACTTCCTCATTTACCCAGAATAAAGAAAGCTGGCCCAAAATCCTTCCTCGTGTTTCTTCCAAGGTTATCATGTCATTTCCTCCAGACACGGCCAGGGGCTGGCACAGCATACATAACATTAAGAGATTCAGGAGGATGGTGGTCTTGCTAAAGTCAGAGTGCTGGGGACGCTTGCCCATCCTCCTTCTGGGCAAACCCTGCACCCTCGGACCACAAGGCTGGGAGAGCCGATAAAAGCTCACAAAGAGTGACATCGGAGTCTTACTTGATGGATAACTGCTGAACAGTATGAACCAGGCCCCACGCTCAGTACTAGGATACTCCAGGGAGCAAAAGAGACACTGTTCCCGCCATGATGGAACTTGCGGTCCCCTGAAATAGTAAAAAGCCACACGCCAGACAGTGGACACATCTTTCACATATGGAAGCACCTTAATGCCCTCTGCAATGAGCCAGTTGCCTGTCTGCTGTTAAAGCCATTTTGGCAGCCCCGCCTTCTCCGGTTCCCAGGATGTGCAGAATCGAGTGGTGGGCTCCACAGCCTCTTTGCCGTTCTGTGCCCTCCTCCTCACCCCTCTCCTTCCAGTGTCCCTGGGGCCCAATGTCTGTCTGGCCCTTTTGCTCCTACTAAGGGACTAGAATCGGGTCACTGGGTTGACTTTAACATTTTCAGGTCTTTTCTACCCACCAACGTGCCACTGCATTACAGATTAAAAGAAGGGGGAACATGCATAGTTTAAAAATGTTCATTGCTGTTAATTACTGTCTGTATATAATTAAACTACCTAGTATAGCAGCCCATAAATGACTGGTGAATCAAAACTTTAAAACCAGAATCTGAGGTTTTCTGGGTTATAAACAGACAAAATTATGGGAGTGTCCTCCCCTATGCTCCTAAGTGCTCAGGAGAAAAGACCAGCTGTGGCCATGCTAAGCTCAGGAGCAAACCTCTGACTGCGCACAGGGTGATACTGTTATGAACAAAAAACAGCAAAACGAGTTTCTGATCCTTCACCATTCCCTCTAGCAAGACTCATTCCCTGCTCCCTCTTCGGTAAACCCCCCTATTCTACTAAAGGCCCTGAATAGGTTCTGGGCACACACTTGTTCAACAGCTCAGGACAGCTGTCACAGCCTTCCAACAACAGGGCGAGGAGGAGGGAATGAGCTCACTTTCTATTTTTCTACAGCTCAGCTGTGTCTTTCCCTAGTCTTTGCCCTCTTCTTAAAAATTCAACATTATGTGTATGTGTATGTGTGTGATTGACAGAGTTTCAGGTGTCATAGGTTTGAGTTAAACAAGGATGTTCGCATACAGGGCTAAACTTAACCATGACTGAGTACACAACAGTTTCACTAAGGGTGCATGATTTGAGAGAAAAAGAAAGTGTTTCTTTGGCCTCAAAGACGTCTGTCCTTAGCATCTTGTTATGGGCCTTTAATTGCACTGTGAGTTTTACTCTTGCAAGTTAAGAAAATTGCTTACTGTTTACAAGTCTCTTATTGAAATACAAACATTCCTGGTAGGAAAAATAGCCAAGTCATTATCTTTCTTTAGCACTCTGGCAGAACATAGTAACTAGGATGAAGTTTGAAACTGTCATGCAGGAAGCAGGAGGTGTTGAAGAGGTGGGCAGTGCCAGGCACGCTCCTGTCTGTGTGTGCACCTGGGGGTGGAGGTGAGTGTGCTCAGAAAAAGAACTTAATTTACTTCTCATTTTCTCATAAACAGAGTTTTCTACTGTTTCAAAATCATCATCAAATATCCTAAAAATTTCTCCTCAATAAAATCCCTCCCCAAAAAGTCAGTTTGGTTCAAGACTATACTATGCCTACAGAACCAAAGAAGTTCTTGGGGAAATCAGCCAGCTGCAGTCATTTGGTGCCCCAAGCCTATACACACACACAAATTTTTTATTTCAATATACTTTTATTTTTTTTATCACCATTTATCACATCTATACCCTCTTCCACCTCCACACACTCTCCTCCCCCTACAATCTTAACCTCTCTGTGTTTTTTTTTTTTTTTAAGGAAATGCCAGTGCTTATGGGAACCTTTGCCCAGCTAGGGTCCAGGCAAAATTCTGAAGAATCATTTGGGATAGTGTGATCACATCATCACTCAAATGTTTGGTCTATAAAAAACAGAGACTCAACTCAATCTGGCTTTTGCATATGGGGACCTCATTGATCCCAGTGACTGCTGAGCCTTAGGGTTCAGGCATCAGCCCTGGTTTGCTGTAGAGGTTCACACTGTCATCAGCACTTCACCTCTATTTTTCTGCAGTTCTTTTATTTCTCACCTCCCTGAATATTGACTTCAACCACAAACAGTCTTTTCTATAATTACAAATAATTTCACACTTGTGTAAAATACAAAAAATGAGAGACAACTTTATCTCAAAACCCTGCCATTTATTCTGAGTGCAATGCCTTGGGTCACATGACCCCTCCTGACCAATCACATTGGCCCTGCCCTCATTGTCTTAGCCTTGGTCACGTGACCCACCCCAGCACTGGATTCAAGTTAGTCCCCCTGGAACCACAACAGTCCCCTAAGCAGAAACTGGGGCTGTGAAAGGGCTAAAGTGAAAAAAGGGGAAGGAAGCTAGGAGTCCAGAACACATCTAGAATTACACAGGCCAGCTTTCATTTCTAACTTCCCTAGATATTAACTCAGCAAGTGCCTTAAATTCTCTGAGCCTCAGTTTCCTCATCTGTTAATGTCAACAATAATCATACCTGCCTTATAGAAATCCTGTGAGAAACAAATTTTAAAAAAGAATGTGAAATGTTTGAAACGGTACCTGTCTTGTAACTCAACCAAAGTGAATTATTATTATAAAGTGGTGCCTAGTCTCTTTGGGCTTCTATAACAAAAATACCATAAACTGAGTGACTTACAAATAATAGAAATTTATTTCTCCCAGTTCTGGAGTCTGGGAAGCCCAAGATCAAGTGGTGTCTGGCAAGGGCCTGCTCCCTCGTTCCTAGACATCTGCTTGTGTGCTCACGTGGCAAAAGGAGTGAGGGAGCTCATTGGGGTCTCTTTTACAAGGTGGCTAATCACCGAATCACCTCACAAAGGCTCATTTCTTAATACCATCACTTTGGGAAGTAAGATTTCAACAAATGGATTTGGAGGGGACACAAGCGTTCAGTCCATAAGAGGTGGGTGGTTCACCGGTGGAACTGAAGCCCTCTTTCCTATTTACGTCTCCTGCACTATCAGGCAAATGTTCCAGGGGCCCTGCTCTCCAGCAAAGCCCACATTTCTTTGTAAGTCCTGAAATGGTTCCTTGGCACCTTGATTTCTTTTAAGTGCAGCTTTATTAGACGTGGGGTGGGGTCACATTGCTGAGCTATATGCTTGGAGCATTAACTCAGAATTCAAGGCAAACATGCAGTTACAAGTTTTCCCCAAAACAGAAACATTATAATCAGGCCAAAAGGGCTTAGAAAAGAAAATGTGTGTAATATTTAATTAAACTTGTTTTCTGTTTAAAAAAAAAAAAAGATACAGATCCAAGACATGAAGAACTAAATGTAACATCTGCAAATTTAACAATTACGTCTGCCTTCAAAAAAAAAAAAAAAAAATAACCCAAAATAGCTAGTGAGAGAATGGAAAGGGCCACATCCTGATTTTAGGGGGACTTGTTAGGAAGAGAGAGCTAATCAACTCAGCAGTTCAATTTCAAGCTTAAATCAGGTACAGTTTTCTCAGTCAGCAAAGCAAGTTCCTCTGTCTAATTTCCTAATTATTCTATCTGGCAAACAGTGGTTCCAGAGGAGCTGGGAAAGAGCTCTTCTATATCCAGTTAGTAAATAATTTCAGTTGTTCTTTTTTGGAACTGAAGCCTTCAGCTGCCTTCAAATATCCCAGACTAAAATTTTTTTCTTTCCTCTAAGCCAGCTTTTCTTTAAAATGTGTGAAAGATGAAATCCTCTCCTCCCATATCAAGTCTCCTCACTGCTGGAGGAAAAAAATGTATGCATCAATGTTATCTTAGCTGAAAACAATGAGTTCTTCCCCAGGCTAATTTTATGGATTCCCGAAAAACTGAACAAATGATGGAGGGAAACACACACACACACACACACACACACATTCTTGTCATGAAACCCAGTGTCACTTTATTGTGGCTTCCCTGCCTCTTTTCCACTCAGAAATGGTGGGAGAACATTTGAAAAGAAGCCAGAGGAGATTATTGAAATGATCTAAGGGACAGTAAATGTTTTCCACATGAAGGTAGACCAAAGCGATTAAGATGCGTGAGCTGTAGAAAGACAACATCTAAGAAGGCAGAACAACAACAATAATGGCAACAATTTTCTTTTTTGAAAGCTATCAATTATTTGAGCATTTGCTATGTGTGGGCACTATGTGAAGTATTTTACCTGCATTCAATACTTAATCTCATTAACAGCCCACTGGTGGGTAACACAATGACCCCAGGTGCAAGAGAGGAAGGTGGGGTTAGCAAATGGAGGAGACTGGCCCCCTGGTTCCCTGGGCTCCTGTGCTCAGCAAGCTGGGATTCAAATCAGTCTGACTCTGTCCCAGGCTCATACTAGCTGAGGCTGTCCTGGCTGTTTGATTGGAGGCTATAGAATAAGGAACACTTCATGGTTTTAATTGTGGGCTTGCAGAATTTAAGTCAAGCAGCAAACAGGCTTAAAAACGAAATAGGCTAAAAGGGGTGGGATTAATTCGCTGATGAGAGCACAGCAGAAAAAAAACAACCACCATGATTTGAGTTTCATTATTTGGAAGAACTCCACAATGCTCTTCAACTATTAAACCTTGGACCATTCGCTCCCAAAGTCACCTGGATGAATGGACTGGGATAGTCTGTATTTCTCACTTTCTATTTCCTCCCTCCCTCCCTCCCTCCCTCCCTCCCTCCCTCCCTTCCTCCCTTCCTTCCTTCCTTCCTTCCTTCCTTCCATACTTGTTCAGTACCAACTACTTGCTGGCTACTGCATTGAACAAAATACAAAATCTAG